TTAAAAAAAACATTAAGTTTTTAAATATACTTTCCACTTTAATTTGAAAAAAAAACTATTTTTAAAAGTTTTTTAAAGTATATATATATAACAAAAAAAAAATAAAAATAAAAAATTATTATTGAGAACCGGCGGTTCTACTGGCTCTAACCGGAACCGAACCGGAACCGGTTAGGAACCGAACCGCAAGGAACCGGATTTTTTCGGTTCGGTTCCGGTTCCTCCAAAATCGGAACCAGAACCGGCGGTTCGGAACCGGAACCGGAACCGAACCGAACCGAACCGTGGTTAGGTCTAACTGCGGTTGACTGGCCGGAAAAAAAAAAAAAGGTTTTCAAAAAAATAAATTCAATGTCGGACAACGCCTGCCAGGTCAACGCCGGAATCTGGCCGGAAAAAAAATTTCAAAAAAAATTTAGAAAATTTATTTTCTAAGAAAAAATATTTTTTCAAAAAAATATTAAAATGGGGGTTAATGTGATATATTTGTTTAAATTCGGGGTCAATGTGTAATATTAAAGAAGTTAGAGTATAATGGATGAAATTGATAAAAAATATATTATTGAGGGTATTTTAAGAGTAAAGACATGGTGATGGGTTTATTTGAAAGATTGTTGGTTATGTGGACCAATGTGCATTTAAGTCCCTTGTCATGACCCTAATTATTAATTATTATTAATTGTTACTTAATTTTTAGTTATAGGATTTTTATGTAATTTCACTTATAAGGTAGGTATCGTACTTTTTTTGTGGGGCTCGTACAAATCATACGTGTCACATTTTTATTGGTTGATTTTCAATCGTTTAGGTCCGAGTAGTACAACCCCTCTCGGACCCTAGACAACCCCTTGTGAGTTCCTCGTGCACTTATCGCATTCGTCGAGGTACTTAGAGAACTTAATGTGCTCGATGATCATTGGCACACGAATGGAAAACGAGCAAGAATGCATTTATTTGGCTCCAAATATTATATTCCTCGTCGAACTACTACACAACTAATAATAATGTACGATTGCCAATTCGTGAATCATTTTTGGAGTTCAATTAGTGTTGAAAAATAAAATTTAATTCGATTTATTCCATATTAGCAAGGTGTTGGGTTTTAGATTAACATGATTTTAAAATTATGTACATAACTTCTCAACAATAAATAAAAATAACTTTTTACTATAAATTATTGTAAAAGATGCTTATTTTCAATGCAATGTGCTTTGTTCATTTTTTGTGAAATTTGCAAGTTTTACTACCTGAGCTTAGGGGTGGCAAACGAGCCGAGCCGGCTCGCGAACTCGACGAGCCGGCTCGAAAAAAGCTCGAACTCGAGCTCGAGCCCAAAATTAGTTGTTCGGCAGCTCGCGAGCCGGCTCGCGAGCTGCCTTCTTTCTTTTTTTTTTTTTTTTTTTTTTTCTTTTTACATATATATATATATATATATATATATATATATATATATATATATATATATATATATATATATATATATATTATTCTTATTCTTATTCTTATTATTATTATTAACTAAATAGTAAATAGTCTATAATAATAAATATATCTAGTATTTAAATAGAAACAAATCTATATTACTTAAATAATTCATAATAATATAAAATATTATAATAATAATAATAATAATAATAATAATAATAATAATAATAAAAAATATATATAACTAGAGTTCATTATTTATTTTATAATTTTTTTTTATTTACCTATGAATATTTTTTTATAAAAAATAAAATGATTTTAATAAAAAAATTAAATAATAATAAAAAAAAAATACAAAAAAAATGAAATAAGCTCGAGCTCGAGCTCGGCAACATGGACTCGAGCTCGAGCTCGAGCTGGCCAAAAGAGCCGAGCTCGGCTCGTTCCCACCCCTACCTGAGCTACTCTTGTGCAAGTTTTGTGAAATCTCAATATTTTGAATGTAAACTAATATGGCATCCAAGGAATGCTTATAAATAATATTTATATAAGTTTGAATTTTATAAAAGATAAAGAGAAATTTTAAGAGAAATTATTTATGATGTTAAATTTATCTAGTCTTAAAACACTAATACAACATAGTAATCTAATATTAACATTTGTATTTTTCACATAAATAGGCGATACAATTTAGTTAATAATAATATACTTCGAAGGCTTCGACATGCCTAATATAAATTTTAGAATTATGTACATAATTTTTCAATTGGAAAACAAGAACAATAATTTTACTATTACCATGGGTGATCGATCAATTTGATCATGGTATTTCGAGGAGATTGATGCTTGATCTTTTCTTGTGCAATTTTTTGTGAAGGTTTTCTTGTGCAACTTTTGTGAAGTTTTTAAATTGCAAGTGTTAGTGCAATTTTTGTCCAAGCTGCGTGAAACATTCCGTTCGTTTATTTGATGTGTCCGTTTAGATATAAATTATTTTTCTTCGTTAACCGTCACTTTTGAATTTCGAGGTATAATTAATTTTTGGATAAAATGCATTTCGTGCCCCTAGAAATTTCCAAAACTCGCACTTCCCCCTGAAAATTCAAAAAAGAGATCGATGTCCCCTCCTTTCAAATGTTGTTTCGATTCACTTTACCCCAAAATCAAAATTTTGGTGTAATTTTTTTACTGGAAGTGAAATTTCTCCGTCCACTTAAAGTGTATTTGCGTCATTTCATCATTCCCACCCAAATACCTAATATCCTCCTCTTTTCTATCAGTTGTCAAACGCACCTATTTCACCAATTTCAGAACAAAAAAAATAGTGTTTTTTTTCTCCCAAAAGCTCGGATTTTCACAGAGTTTCCCACTCTTATAAAATGCAAAGAAGGGCAAACTTTACAAAACTACAAATGTTAGCTCAAACTACTGAAATATTAAACACAAAGCATGAAACGCACAAAAATATTACCTTCGTCGTTAAAACTCTTTCGCTTTAAGAGAGAAGAATCATAATTTTTGAGAGAAGAATCGTAAATTTTCAATCTCCAATTGTGTAATGTTTAATTCATGGGTTACAAAGAATCATATGAATGGGGATTTGGGATGGGCATGACAAAATTACATATATATATATTACCTTGAATTGACCAAATACCCTTTAAGTGGAAGGAGAAATTCAATTTCGATGAATAATATACTAGAAATTTGATTTTGTTGTGAAGTGCAATCGAAACAATTTTAGGAGGGAGACGCCTCTTTTTTGAATTTTCAACGTGGAAAGTCCGAAATTTTGAAATTTCTAAGGAACGAAGAGCATTTTTTTCCTTAATTTTCTTTTCTTTCCCATCTGAAATCAAGGCTATTTAATAGTTTCATTAATTGGTGTGCATCTACTTTAAACTACAATCACAATAAAAGTTCATAATACAATGAAGAAAATACAATATACACACATAAACAATACATACATTAGTTACCAACATTCACTCAAATACATACAAACTAGAACATTCTTATCAAAAAAAAAAAAGGAGCTAGAACAACATGTGTGAATCTCATGTTCACATTATTTAAAGTAAAAACATCCATTTAATTTATCAACCAGAAATCTGAGTAATTTCATCTCCAGTGAAGTCGAGAGCTTGGTCGTTATAAATATCCCACCATCGTTGGATCAGCATTTTCACGTCAGCTCTATCCATGTATTGCTCTTCTCCATTATACTTCCAAGGCTTCGATCCGTTTACACAAAAGTGAACCACTTTCACTTCATCGATCTCAACACACTCGGGGTGCCGCCAAAGCATCGCCACCAACAAGTTGTAAATCGGCGGCATTGGCTTCGAAATATCTTTGAAGAAGTAGTTCAGGAAATCCTACAAAAATCCGAGTTTTGAGTACTCAAGTGCGTCTTGAATTTTAAAACGATAGAAAAATATAAACAACGTACAATAAAAATATGTATAAGAAAGATTAAAATTTGCATCTTTCTTTAATTTTTCAAATTGTTTCTCCCGAAGCAACTTTTGATGCATACAATTCAAGAATCTCCATTTGCGGACAATATAAGAGATCCAAAAACATCACAAAGCTGTATACGTTTTCTTAGTAATTTTTCCAAATACAATCTTTATATAATCTTTTTACATATAATATATATATATATATATATATATATATATATATATATATATATATATATATATATATATATATATAT